GCCACTTCCAGCTTTTTCTGCTTATGTGGTGCTGAGGAATCGAACCCAGGGCCTCATGCATGCAAGGCAAGCGCTCTACCACTGAGCCACCTTCCCAGCCATACTTTTTTTTTTTTTAATTTATTATTTTTGTTGGTCGTGGGGTTTGAACTCTGGGCCTGGGCACTGTCCCTCAGCTCTTCAGTGTGCTCTACTACTTGAGCCACAGCTCCACTTTCAGCTTTGTCTGTGTATGTGGTGCTGAGGAATCGAACCCAGGGTCTCATGCATACAAGGTAAGCACTCTACCATTGAACCACTTTTCCAGCCCTCTTTCTTTTTAAAAACAGTACTAGAAGCTGGGAATTGGTGGCTCACATCTGTAATCCTAGCTTCTCAGGAGGCTGAGATCTGAGGGTCTTAGTTCAAAGCCAGCCTGGGCAGGAAAAGTCCATGAGACTCTTATCTCCAATAAACCACCAGAAAACTAGAAGTGGTGCTGTGGCTCAAGTGGTAGAGAGCTTGCCTTGAGCTCTCTACCTATAACTGACCAAAAAAACAAAACAGTACTAGAGATTGAACTCAGGACACTGATCACTTTGCAAATGCTCTACACGAACTACACCATCCAGCACCCAAATTTCCCTTCTATGCTACTGATTAATTCTCTTGTTCTTTAGGTTTCTAGTATCAACTCCTATTTGAAAGTATTAATTATAAATTAATATCAGGGGGCTGGGAATGTGACTTAAAGGTAGTGCTTGCCTAGCATGCATGAAGCTGTGGGTTCCATTGATTCCTTAGTACCACATAAACAGAAAAAGCCAGAAGTGGTGCTGTGGCTCAAGTGGTAGAATTTGTTCAAGTGGTAGCCTTGAACAAAAGAAGCTCAAGTACAGTGCCCAGGCCCTGAGTTCAAGCCCCAGGACTGGCAAAAATAAACTAATTTAATTTAATTTTAAAAATCAATGCTTATAGCTAGGCAGAGTAATAATGTAATCCTAGCTACTCAGGAGCCTGAGATCAAAAGAATTGAAGATCAAGGCCACCTAGGCAAAAAATTTTTTGAGAATTCATCTTAACCAATAAAATCTGGGCATGATGGTATGTGCCTATCATCCAGCTAAGTGAGAAACATAAAAATAGGAGGGCCACTGTCCAGAATAAAAGAGACCCTGAGTAAGAATCTATTAGAAAAATAAAAGTAAAAAGAGCTAGGGGCCAGGCAGTAGAGCACCTGTCTAACAAGTTCTAAGCCCTGAATTCAAACCAAAGTACCACCAGAAATATATCAGGGCTTGTTAGAATGCATAAGGAAACATAAGGAAAAGACTCCAGCCCTTCCTTCTACTCGTAAATGCTAGATATGATTTAAGACATAATCTTAGGCTATTTACTAGACTCTGTTGAAATGGGCAGACAGAATGAACAAGCCTGTGTGATAGCAATCTCAAATAACAAAAGAGAACTTGTTAGACAAAATGTACAACTGTTATATTTACACTTTAAGAATGTTCATACATGAAGACATTTTTAAATCCTTTAATTTAATGATCTAAAGTGAAAACAACTAGAATGTTTCTGATATGATCTAAGAAAATATAATGACTGGATGGGCGCTGGTAGCTCATGACTGTAAACCTAACTACTCAGGAGGCTGAGGTCTGAGGATCGTGGATCAAAGCCAACCCAGGCATGAAAGTCCATGAGACTCTTATCTCCATTAAACTACCAAAAGAAGTCAGTAGTGGAGCTGTGGCTCAAGTAATAGAGTGCTAGCATTGAACAAAAGAAGCTTACCAAGGCAGAGTTCAAGCCCCAAGACCAGCCAAGAAAAATTAATAAACAGATAATAATGACTGGATCCAAGAATAAAAGCTGAATATCCATTCTCTTTAAATGTTTTGCAAAAGCCCTCAGAAAATTTACCTTTTCATTTTTCCTTCTGCTGATAATTCTGTCTAAGCCATTGAAAGCACCAGATGCAACAAATAGGACATTTGTTGTGTCAACTTGCACTGTTTCGCCACGTAGCTTTCGGGAATTCTTTTCTGGAACATTGACTATTGTGCCTTCTAGTAGTTTCAATAAGCCCTGAATAAAGAATGAATAATTTGTTAACATCAGTATAAAAGTATATTAATTACCATACTTTAGGTAATGGGATTCAATGGGAGGAAGATAATATGTAGTTATGGTTAATAATATTTAATAGAAACTCCCGCATTTCTACAACTAACATGAAAATCAGATTCATTTAACACATTAATAATTCATGAGTTATTTGAACTATAAAATTATTTGAAATAACCTGATATATTGTAACCCAGGAAACAGTCTTAGAAGTGTTTTTGATGGTAAAATCCTAGTTCTGACGTAAAGACAGAATAAACATGACATGAACATTCAAAATTTGGAAAAAAATATCTTTCACATAAAATTCTATCCTACTATGTTAAATTTTGAAAATATCTGTATTTTGAGATGCCTTCACAGAAAAATTTCCCAGCAAATTTTCTATGTCTGTCAAAAAAAATTGATGCAATTTTTTCAATCTTTAGTTTATCATAATTAGTTGCCATTAAAAGGTTAAGTTGGCCCAAAAGACCATTGTGACTTTAATTATGACTCTGCAGGGAGTGAAACACTATTTTATACCCATCTTCTAACTAAATGGGAGGAGTGAGAAATAGGTATGGATCATTCATGTCTAGCTGGAATCAGAACTTCCTTCAAGAGTCTAGAAATGTTTACTCGGCCTTTGAGGAATAAAAACAACAAAGATGCCAAGAGCTGGTGGCTGTAATTCCAGCTACTTGGGAGGCTGACATCCAGAGGATGACAGTTCAAGGCCAACACAGGCAGAAAAATCTGTGAGACTGCATCTCCAAAATAACCAACAAAAAGCTGGGCTGGTGGTATGACTTAGTGATAGAATGCCAGCCAGGCAAGCAAGCCAATCAAGTTCAAGGCCCTGAGTTTTAACCCCAACAAACAAACGAAAAACCCCAAGGATTAATTTTCACTTGTTCTGTTCTTTAAAACATTTTTAATTTCCTAAGAAAGGAAATTTGCTATTTAAAATCATCAATAATTTTCTTTAAGGATCTGAGCTACTTTACAACAGTATGTGAGGTTTAGGCTAGGAGAAATGAAGCATAATCTAGTTGAATGTGAAACCAAACGTACAATATTTGGGAGGTTTGATGTATTCCCTTCCTTTTAGTGGGCTTGAACAAAATATTCAACTGCTTACTTGCTGAACGCCTTCTCCACCTACATCCCGTAATTGATGAATGCCTGGCACACTGCCAATCTTATCTACTTCATCCAGAAAGACAATTCCTATAATTTAAGGAGGATTCTATTTATAATATGAAAAAGGTAAGACACAAGATAGTCTCAGTTTTAAAACACTACTAGATGGTTACAGAGCAAGGTTATTCAGTTTTTCATACTTAACATATACTTGATAGTTTTAAAATACTAATATTATCTCTTATGATTTTATGCATCTAGTTATTCCAGTCCATATCATTTGAGTATGATAACGAAAAATTTTGACAATAGTTATTTACCCTTCTAATGTATCCCTGTTTTTTTTTATTATGGGAAGCTAAGTAGAAGCAGGAGGTATGAGGGGAATATATATTTCTGACACTAACAAAACTTTAGCTCACTTTTTCCCACCCATGTTCTTATGAAGAAATTTGGACAGAAAGTTGTTGAGCTCTTCACGTAAGTAAGCACAGAGGACAGAGGAGAAATGCAGCATCCTGACTCATCCATTCTGCACTCTTCTATATTTACCACTCTCCACCCTTTCCCTAAACCCAGCATTAGGTAGTCTAGAAGGGAGTTAGAACAAGCAAAGCAACAACAGTATTAAGGGCATAATGGAATAGTAACTTGGTGTTTTCACTCTAGCAGCAGCCATCTTAGTCACAAGACAAAACAGACTTATGACTCTCAGTTGGTATACTAAAAAAGTATGTGACAGACACTTTTATGTAACAATGGAATATCAGCCCTTGACTCAAAATACTTCTTTCTTTCCTAATAAAGTAAATCTGGGGACAAACCGCACTTAACACATACCTTGTTGTGCTTTTTCCACATTATAGTTGGCATCTTGGAGCAGTTTGGCAATCACAGATTCAATATCTTCACCTACATATCCAGCCTGAGTCAATGTTGTACAGTCACAGATAGCAAAAGGAACATCAAGGCATTTAGCCAGAGTTTGTGCCAGCAGGGTTTTACCTACAAACAGTAATTAAAAGGTGTATGATACATACTATTTTTACAAAAATGAAAAAAACAAGTGTGTACTGGACAAGTTAAATGTTGTATCTTTTCTCTATTATTATTCAGATCTAACTGTATCTTACTTATTTCACAATTCCTTCTAAGAATTTAGTTAATGTATTGTCTTGTTAGGGATAGTCCTGAAGAGAAACACAGCAATGTTTCGAATTTACCTTGAGGTGAAACAGGGAACACTGACAATATATCCCATCTAAAACCACCAATCTTGATTTTTTTCACTCCTTTATGAGTCACAACTCATATTTACAAGATATAAGCTACAGAACCATCAGAATCATTTATTGCTGTTTTTTTTTAATGAGTTGTAAAATTCCCAGAAAGTTATTTACCTGACCCAGTTGGTCCAAGCAGCAAAATATTACTTTTTTCAAGTTTTATGTCATCATGAGAAGAATCCAATACTTCACCTCCTCGTTTTTCCTGAGGTATTTGTTGATTTACTTGTTGCTGCATGGATGCTCCTAAAGCATTACCATGAGGACTAATTCCAGCAATCTGAAGCAATTCTGAAAGAGTAACAAAAGAATTATTCTAGTTGTGCCCTGTAAAACCCTACATCTAAAACAAGCACCTTGTTAGAGAAATTTGAATATTTAAATATTTCTTACCTAAAAAGAAAAGCATCAATTGTTTAGTGACAAATTTATAACATATGATTATAATACAAAGAACCTCAAGGAATGGGAGCCTCTTCACCCTCATCTATGTAATGTACAAGAAGGAGGCAGATAGCATGTGGGAAGCTCAGCAGTAGGAGTCAGAAGCTCTAGCTATCTTTTGTTTCCAACTGAGCAAGTCATGTAATCTTTCTGATTCTATTTCCTAACCTATGAAACAGCAATACCACCTGTTCTATCAATTTCAAACACACAGCTCAAGTAGAAGGCTACTGATAAGGAGATATTTTGAAAGATAAAAAAATATTACTTGTCTTCAGTACAAATAAAAAGGAGAGGAAAAAGGAAAACAATGACCTGAGAGAAGTTGAGTTCTAGTCCAGCATTGTTGCTTCCTGGTTATGGGGGCCAAGAAAGTCACAACTTTCTTGGAACTACTTCCTCACCTACAATGAAAATACTGAGATACGTGTCCTTTTTAGTCTCCTCCACATCTATGAGTATACCATGAAAGGCAAGAGTGGTAAATCTTACTATTCCTAGTCCAATCTGAATCCCTGACTTTATTAGCTCTCAACTTGATTGCTCTAGTTCTTTCAATATAGACACAATGCCTAACTAGGTGGGATTGAATCTGCTGGCAAAGTATCAGTTTATCAGCTGGGTCCCTGCAAAAAAGAGTATACTTGCTTTATTGGCTAATTTTATCAGCGTTTTCTAATGACTATTTTAAATCCAATCAACAAAATAATGGTTCAGTAAATATACCTATTATTATAGTCCTAATTCCAACTAGATGTTTCTTTTACACTGTCTTCATACTTAAGTAAAGAGTTATTCTGATTAATAAAACTACCAGGTGTTCAACAAATACTTGAGTTTAAGTCATGCTCCACTTGAAAGTGGAAATGACAGGTGAGTAATTCACTGTTATGCCTCATTATAATGCACACTAGATAAGGAAGCCCCATCTCCTATTGGAGTTCCTTTAAGTTGTCACTAGCAAAGTAGTTTTTGTTTTTTTTAGGGGGGTGGTGGAAGGAGTTGTTTCCATTTTTAATATTAGCAAAATCTAGTTAGAAATTATGATACCATGGGAATGGACCTGGCTTTAATTTACCTTTGATCCATGGGGAAAATAATTTAGATGAATCTGAACAAAATTACAAGAGAAAACTACAGTGGAACAATATGAGTTTGTTTGTTTTTTGTGCTGGTCCTGAGGTTTGAACTGAGGGTCTGGGCACTATCCCTGAGCTTCTTTTGCTCAAGGCTAGTGCTCTATCACTTGAGTTATAGCTCCATTTCCCACTTTTTTGGTAGTTTAGTGGAGATAAGTCCCATGGACTTTCCTTCATGGGCTGGCTTTGAACTGTGATCCTTAGATCTCAGCCTCCTGAATAGCTAAGGTTTACTGGAGTGAGCCACCATCATCTGGCAAAGTTTAAAAAGGAGGAATAACAAATAGTAAGGTGATGTCTATCATTCCATTATGAGTATCCATCAGATGACCCTGGTTCTGTTAGTAAGTCTCCATCCCTGTCTCTCACTATAGAAAGTTCTTTACCATGGGAACTATGAGTAAGGAATCTAGGATAATGGTTAACACATGGAGCTCATCAGCTATTTTTCCAAGTGTCTAATTATTCATTGCTTATGTGCAAGCTAAGAAGTTCATGTGGTACTCAGATTAGGAAAGAGTACTAAGTTTCAATGATGGAGAAACCAATTATGTCAGTCTAAGAAATGTGATTTCCAAAGGGCCTTATGAAAATAATTTTGTGGGCTGGGAAGGTGGCTCAGTGGTAGAGCGCTTGCCTTGCATGCCTGAGGCCCTGGGTTCGATTCCTCAGCACCACATAAGCAAAATGAAAAAAGCCGGAAGTGGCGTTGTGGCTCAAGTGGTAGAGCTCTAGCCTTGAGCTGAAGAGCTGAGGGACAGTGCCCAGGCCCAGAGTTCAGGCCCCACAACCGGACACACACACAAAAAAGAAAAAAAGAAAAAAAAAAAAAAGAAAAGAATTTTGTTAGATATAGCTTTGGTCATAATGCCCTAACTTTAGGACCTAAAATCCTGCCTTATGAAAATAATTTTGTTAGATATAGCTTTGGTCATAGTGCCCTAACTTTAGGACCTAAAATCCTATGTAGGATACAACTAAGTTGTACACAGTGATAAATTATATTTAAGCTTTTGAAATATTTGTTTCTAGCTGGGCAACAGTATCTCATGCCTATAATCCTAACTACTCAGAAGGCTAAGATCTGAGAACTGCTGTTCACAGCCAGCCTGGGCAGGAAAGTCTATAGACTTGTATCTCTAATAAACCACCAGAAAACTGGCAGTGGCACTGTGGCTCAATTGGTAGAGTGCTAGCCTTGAGCTGAAGAGCTGAGGGACAGTGCCCAGGCCCAGAGTTTAAGTCCCATGATGATTTAAAAAAAAAAAAAGTAATCACATTTAGGAACTTAGGTAAAGGCAATTTATAATTATATTGAATAGAAACTTTTTTTTTTTTGGTCAGTCTCAGGGACTTTCCTACTCCGGCTGGCTTTGAACCTCAATCCTCCTATCTCAGCCTCCTGAGTAGCTAGTATTACAGGTATGAGCCACCAGCACTCAGCAATATGATTACCTTTTTTTCTTTTTTTTGTCAGTTGTGGGGCTTGAACTCTGGGCTTGGGCAGTGTCCCTGTGCTCTTCAGCTCAAGGCAAGCGCTCTACTGCTTGAGCCACAGCTCCACTTCCACTGCTGGTTTTCTAGCGGTTTATTGGAGATAAGAGTCTCATGGACTTTCCTGCCTGGGCTAGCTTTGAACTGTGATCCTCAGATCTCAGCCTCCTGAGTAGCTAGGATTATAGGCATGAGCCACCAGCGCCCGGCTTATGATTACTTTTTTAACATTTAAATTACATTGAACCATTATAGGTCAATATTAACTACAGACTTTACTACTAGTTTCACTAGCTGCCAAACCAAATTTATAACAATACAGATTGCATATTTGATTGTATTTTGGGGTTATTAAATGTAAGTAATACATACATGTAAAGTTTAGATTTTATATCCCTTCCCACCCCACCCCCAAGTCCTGCAGAGCCACCTTCCCAGCCCTCTTCCTTTTTTTTTTTTTTGAGACAGTATCTTGCTATGTAGTTGAGATTAGCTTTGAACTTGGGATCTTCTTACACCTCTGTTTTTATCTCCTGAGAACTGGGATTACATTCATGTGCCACTAAACCTGGCTTAAAACTTACACACACACACACACACACACACACACACACGAGAGAGATGGAGGGAGAAAGGGGGAAGAAAGACAGAGACAGGGACAGAGAGAGATTTTATTCTTTTGTGGCACTAGGGTTTGAACTCAGGACCTTGCACTTACTGGTTGTTATGTAGGCATTCTATCACTTGACTCAAGTCCCCAACCCTTTCTCTTTTTTTAATATTTCACATTTATGCCCAGGTTAGCCTCAGATTCTCAGATTTCCATCTTGCTTTTCACATTCCTTGTACCTGAGATGACAGACACACCCACCATGTCCAGTTTTTACTGGCTGAGATGAAGTCCTATAAACTTTTTGCCTAGGCTGGCCTGGCCCCATGACTCTCCAAATCTCCACCTCTCAAGTAGGATGACAGGCATGAGTCACTGCATCCAGCGACAATTTTCTTAAATGTAATAAATGTCATGTTGGAAGTGGTAAACCAGTTATATTATCATGACTCACCCACTTGTAGCACACTTCAAACACATATATACTATTTGATTCAAAGACAAACCAAAGTTTCAAACAATCCCGGCACTGGTGGCTCAGGCCTGTAATCCTAGCTACTCAGGAGGCTGAGATCTGAGGATCACTGTTCAAAGCCAGCCCAAGCAGAAAAGTCCCTGAGACTCTATCTCTAATAAACTAGTTAGAAAAAACCAGTTAGAAAAAGCCAGAAGTGGTGCTGTGGCTCAAGTGGTAGGTAGAGTGTTAACCTTGAGCACAAAGAGGCCCAGGGATATCGCCCAAGCCCCAGGACCAGCAAAAAAAAGAAAAAAGAGAAAAATCTCTGTGAACCTTATTATCACAGAACTATCTATCTCCAAAGGAATGGCTATAAGACATCAGAATGGTCCTTGGTATATTAGGTCCTTCCACACATACCATCTCCTTTAGACCATCTGATGCTTACAGGAACAATCAAGAACTGGAAACAGTAACTAGAACTTACTCATAATTTGCAATACTAAATTAAGTTTCATAAACACTTTTAAAAAAAAAGCTGTGTTTCTGCAAAGAGTAGCTCAAAGATAATCTACCTCCACTACAGTGTTAATTTCCAGTGATTTCCAGTATATTTAAAAGTATGTGTATATATATGTGTGCATGTGTGTGTATGTATGTATGTATATGTAACAGCAAACTATAGCTTTAAAGATGCAATTTGTATAATATGTATGCAGTAATAGAGGTAAACTACAGCATTTTTTGTTGTTGTTGTTGGTTGTGGGGCTTGAACTCTGGACCTGGGTGCTGTCCCTCAGCTCTTCAGCTCAAGGCAAGCGCTCTACCACTTGAGCTACAGTGCCACTTCTGGTTTTCTGGTGGTTCATTGGAGATAAAAGTGTCATGGAGGGGCTGGGAAGGTGGCCCTGGGTTCAATTCCTCAGCACCACATAAGCAAAAAAGAAAAAATCCGGAAGTGGCGCTGTGGCTCAAGTGGTAGAGCGCTAGCCTTGAGCTGAAAAGCTGAGGGACAGTGCCTAACCCCAGAGTTAAGACCCCACAATTGGACCCTCCCCCCAAAAAAAGTTTCATGGAGAGTCTGGGCGCTGGTGGCTCACGCCTGTAATCCTAGCTATTCAGGAGGCTGAGATCTGAGGATCATGGTTCAAAGCCAGCCCAGGCAGGAAAGTCTGTAAGACTCTTATCTCCAATAAACCACTAGAAAACCAAAAGTGGCACTGTGGCTTAAGCGGTAGGGCGCTTGCCTTGAGCTGAAGAGCACAGGAACAGCGCCCAAGCCCAAAGTTCAAGCCCCAAGACAGACAAAAAAAAAAAAAGTCTTATGGATTTTCCTTCCCCGGGCTGGCTTTGAACCGTGATCCTCAGATCTCAGCTACTCCTCCTGAGTAGCTAGGATTCCAGGTGTGAGCCACTGCCGCCCAGCAACTACAGCATTTTATATTTCTCTAAATTATGCTTTAAGATGTATCACAACAGCCAGGCACCAGTAGTTCACACTTATAATCTTAGCTACTCTGGAGGCTAAGATCTGAGAATCAGGCTTCGAAACCACCCTGGGCAGGAAAGTCCACTATACTTATCTCCAGTTAATCACAAAAAAAAAAAGCCAGAAGTAGAGCTGTGGCTCACATGCCCAAACACACACACACACACACACACACACACACACACACACACACACACCTAAAATAATCCAAACACACACACACACACACACACACCTAAAATAATCCAACCAGACAAATTAGTTATGAAAAATTGTCCTGAAAGTATATAAAAGCATGTATGATAAACAATCCTAGATAATATACATCTTTCTTGGTCATATGCAAGCAATACTCAATTACACCTAACCAAGTCAAGTCTCCAAAGGAATGGAGGTCACAGAGAACCTGATTTGTACAGAGGTCACTTACTTGTAAATCTGTACTCATCTTCCCGTCTTCTTATTTCTAACTCTAAGAAAGAAAATGAAAACAGCAACATGAAAATATTGCTTATTTGTTTAGTTTGGGGAAACAATGATTACCCCATATTCCTGCCCACTCCTAAATGTATTTAAAAGAATGTGTTCATTGTTTTCAGCTTTTCACATTCTATAAGTTATTTCTACACTGCATCCTTTTAATAATAAACAAAATAAAACCAGGCTTAATAATGGCTGTTCAGTTGCTAGTATTCACATAAATCAGATAAAAATTATTTATTTTAAGAAAAGAATGTAATAATTTAAGTCTAGTAAGAGTTACAATCCTTCATACTATAAATATAATAAAACAGTTGTACTTCTAGCACATAGAACAACTGAAACATTAATCTAGTGACAGAAGCAACAAGAAAATTTTGCTCCTAGACTACACAGTGCTGTGTGGACTTCATACAAATGAAGGTTCCAAGTCTCCACTAGTTATGGCTTATGCTTTCTAAAAATAAAGTAACTGATACCACCACATTACTATATTTTGCAGTTAAGTTCAACATGTCATCATTGAAGTCAGTTACACATATACTAGATACTAAAGATAATCAAAAGGCATTATTGATAAAGTATTTAGCAGAACTTCCTCAAACTGTACAATAATGACTAAAAAGAACCTAAAATGATGATCTAAATCAGAACTAGTGCTCTCTGGACAACAAAACAAAAACTTAGATTTACATTTAACTCTTCATAGTACTTTTAAGTAAAATCATTTATTAATATAACCTGCTTCACTATCCACAGTAAGTTGAGATTGTACAATACACTGTATATTAGAATCTAAAATTAATAGGAATTGCACTTAGAATCACTTACAAATTTGCCCTTAACCTGGCACTCTGTAGCTGGGGCCCAAAGAAGAAAGAGTACTGGATATGCTGTATTAACAGTTATCATCTCCACATATCTCTGACTTAGGCAAATGAAATTCTGTATCCTGAACCCAAAAGAGAAGAACTCAGAGTTGTACAGAGCATTGCAATGATCTGTTCATGATGAACTAGTTGAGGTGAAGTCAACGGTTCAAAAGCAACAACTCAATCTCTACCCCAGTGACCTGCAAACTTGTTTGTTTGTTTTCTGGTGCTGGGGACTGAGGCTACGGCTCCGTGCATGCTAGGCAAGCGCACTACCATTCAGCTACATTCCCACTCAAAACATTTTTATGGAGACTCTCAAAAAGATATTCATTTTGTGATTCTGAATTTTAAGAAATAATACTGACCTTACCTACAAATTAATGTACTTCGGTATTTTCTATTCACATCTATTTTTTAAATTAATGTTATTGGCAATGATTTTATGATCCACTAAAGTAAAAGTATTTTGAAAAATGCTGCACTGTACTAAAAAACATTTCAAGGTGAAATCAAGGAGTTACAAATCAAGGTGTTTTCTAAGCATATAATCTATTTTGGTCAATTACCAAAAAATACTAACCTCTGGGTGTTAATGATGTCTGCTTCTCCACCTCTGCTTGCTGTCTCAGATTAGCTGGGATATTATTATATATTCTCTTATAATGATTATACACAGCAACTGAAAGTACTTTCTTAGCAAACGATTGGCCAACAACATACTTGTCGAGGTAGTTATAAATCTGAAAAATGATTAGGTATGAACAATTTACTATAAGCTATTGTAAGGCTATATACATTAAGTTACTTAGCTGCTTCAAGTTTTAAATTTAAACAGTTTTATGAAAGTAAAATGCTAAGAGCATGATACATTATGTAGCTAAGATTATAGGCATGATTCCCTTGGCATCTTGCAAATTGTTATATATTTTATATCGTTTCTGAAATCTTTCTCATTGCTCTTAAGTTATATTCATGAATTACTAAACCTGCCATAGATTTAGATAGAGACACACACTGGCATGTAAACCCAGGGAAAGAAAGGCACAGAGGCAGGAGGCAAGAGAGTAAGAAACAATGGAAGTATTCAGACAACCCAGGTCCTGGTGACTCATGCCTAAAAGCCTAGCTACTCAGGAGGCTGAAATCTGAGGATCGAGGTTCAAAGCCAGCCTGGGCAGAAAAGTCCTTGAGACTTTTTTTTCCCCTTGAGACTCTTATCTCCAATAAACCACCAGAAAGCCAGAGGTAGCTCTATCGCTCAAAGTCGTAGAGCTAGCCTTGGGCAAAGCAGGTGGAAGACAGTGCTTAGGCCCTGAGCTCAAACCCCATGACTGATGACGACAACAACAACAAAAACACAAGTATGCTAAGACATGACAGGACAGAGAATACAAGGCCAGGGACAAGGGCCCTGGTTCTCTCTATGGACCTAGAAGTGCTAGTGTGCACTCTGCTCACATTGTTAAAACTAGAAACTGTTTTACTTTAAGAGACAAATTTAAGAGGGATAACTGCAGATTGGTGTTAGAGCCCCAAAATAACAAAATAAACCCATAGATAGATTTTGATACAAGTATTGGTGCTATTTCAAATTATCGTGGTACTAATCATTTTAATTATCTTCCAATTATATTTCATTGATATTAAATTTAGTAAGCATGACAAAGGGACAAGCAATAAGCTCTATAACTAAGTCCAAATATCAAACAGCAATAACAATTTAGCAAGATAGACTATTTAGAGCTTAAGTACTTAAGACTACTACTGTTAAGATTCACGATAAACTTGAGAAGCAAGGAAATGTTTTCAAGATAAAATGTTTATTAGACCTATACCTTCTTGGGGGGAGGGGGTGGTTTCTGTTGGAATGCCAATTTTACAGCTTCTGCTGCTGATTCAGGTTCTTTAATTATGCTTTTCTTTGAATCGGCTTCAGACAGCACAACAAAAAAGTGATGACATTTTTCACACTTGACAAAACGGGTAGATGCTGAAATGAAAAAGAAACAAGAGGTCAGCAGAAGAAAAAAGGAAAAAAAAAATCCCAATAGTGTCTGTCTTAACAACTCACTGTAGGGAAGAGTGTAGATCAATGACAGGGTACTTATTTGGCCACCATGCTGGAGGCATGGTTTAATCTGCAGTACCGTAAAAATGAATGAATAAATACAAAGTCTCACTGTAAGTGAAGTTAAGCACTGACGAAGTGTAGATTATAGTTCACTCCCCTGCAGAGCAAAGCCAGACTAGCTTACACACAGGAGAGGTGCTCAGTACACTCTCTTCTGTTCACTTCCACTGGGTTTCTGTCAAGCCCAAAGAGAATTTTAAAACCACTGTATTAAAATATTTGAATGAGGGATGGGAAATTGGCTCAGTGGTAGAGCACTTGCCTTGCATGCCTGAGGCCCTGGGTTCGATTCCTCAGCACCACATAAGCAAAAAGAAAAAAGCCGGAAGTGGCATTGTGGCTCAAGTGGTAGAGTGCTAGCCTTGAGCTGAAGAGCTGAGGGACAGCGCCCAGGCCCAGAGTTCAGGCCCCACAACCGGACTCAAAAAAATAAAATAAAATAAAATATTTGAATGAATTGTGAAAAAGCACTAATAGATGAATGTATCTAACATTTTATTATGAAAAGTTTCAAACATCCCAAAAAGTTGAGAGGTAAATCTATTTTAATCTCTAAAAATATAAAAAGATACACACTAAAATATCTGAGTTAGAATAGTTTATTACGTTAGACAAATGAGATTATTCTATTTTCCTTTCTCTCTTTAAAATATGGCTATAGAATGAAGATATATATATATATATACACACACACACACTCAGCCTTTTCGGTGCCTAGCTCTATACATGGTAAGCAGGGACCTCAGCAATATATATAGTAAAACATCTCATACAAATACAGATAAAACAGAGCTGGTGTGCCAAGATAATACTTTTTTTTTTTGCCAGTCCTAGGGCTTGAACTCAGGGCCTGAGCACTCCCTATGAGCTTCTTTTGCTCAAGGCTAGCACTCTACCACTTGAGTAAGTGCCACTTTTTCTGTTTATGTGGTACTGAGGACTTGAACCCAGGGCTCTATGCATGCTAGGCAAGCACTCTACCACTAAGCCACATTCCTAACCAACATAGTATATTTCTTATAGAATTATTTGTAATCCAAATAGACAGGAAAGCTGGGCACCTGTGGCTCAAACCTGTAATCCTAGCTATTCAAGAGGCTGAGGTCTATAGGTCATGTCAAAGCCAGGCTAGGCAGGAAAGTTTGTGAGACTCTTATCTCAACCATCAGAAAACCTGAAGGTGAGCTGGAGATCAAAGTAGGAGAGCACTAGCCTTGAGTGAAAGAGCTCAGGGACAGTGCCCTGGCCCTGAGTTCAAAGTCCTACAACACCCCCACCAGCCTGCGCCAAGGCAGGGGAAAAGATAGGCAAAACTGCAGAGGAAAGAAATATTTTAAAAACTGAAGGAAGTTTTTTCATTTGGGAAAATTATAAATATAAATACCTACCATGGCTTACTAGCAAGTAAGGTAGAAAAACTAGCAAGTATGCCTATCTCTAGAAAATACTCTAAATGAAAAACAGAACTAATTCCCCATTAATAAACTTCATTACTCGGAAGTGGCCCTGTGGCTCAAGTGGTAGAGTGCTTGCCTTGAGCTGAAGAGCTGAGGGACAGCACTCAGGCCAAGACTTCAAGCCCCACGACAGACCAAAAACAAAAACAAAAACAAAACCCAAAAGACAAACACCTTCATTACTAATTCAAACAGTTGAATTTGTTTTGTTTCATTCTTAAACACAAAGGCAATTAAGAAAAATTCTTTTTGAACTCCAGCAGCAAATTTAACAAGGGGGCTGATTTACGTTTTCTATTCACTGATCAATTATGTTTACCTTAAAAAAAAAAGATCAAGGCATTCCAACTACCTGCAATTAACATCAGCCTAAATACTAATGGGAATGCAGTGAATGCTTTTATTTTATGATGAGGCACCAGTTTACAAATGTTGCTAATGGTAAACAAGTACAAGGATTAAAGGGCAGAAAAGATTGATCTAGTTCAGGCTGTGTGACAGGAAAATCTGGCCTAAGAACACAAGATCAAAATATTTCCCTAAGAAATTAGGTCACAGGGAAAGAGATTAAACACCAACACATTTCATCTCTAGTTACTGTTTAAGGGCTGCTTAAATTTGACTTGAATACTGTATTTGACAGAAGCTTACAGTGAAGCATGTTCAATGTATTTCCAAGTTCATAGGTTCAATTTTATTTGCCAAAATGCTCTTTAGAGACTTTGATTAGTGGTTTTATCAAAATTAGGATAGATCAGGTGAGCTTGTGGCCACCTTGTGAGACTCTGCCTTAAGCCAGCAAGGGGGAAAACAAACCAAAAAATACAGGACACAGCCATGAGCTGGTGGCTCAAGCTTGCAATCTTATCTACTGAGGAGGTTGAGATCTGAGGATCATAGTTCAAAGTCAGCCCAGGCAGGAAAAGTCCCTGAGAACCTTATTTTCAATTAACTACCAGAAAACTCTACCACTTTGGGCCAGTGTTCAAAGTGGTAGAACACTAATCTTGAGCAAAAAAGCCCAGGGACAGCACCTAACCCCTGAGTTCAAGTCCCAGGACTGGGGTTGTGGTTTTTGTTTGCCAGTCCTGGGGCTTGAACTCAGGGTCTGGGCACTGTCCCTGAGCTTCCTGTTTTTTTGTATTTTTGGTTTTTGCTAGTCCTGGGGCTTGAACTCAGGGCTTGAGCACTGTCCCTAATGCTTCTGTTTGCTCAAGGCTAGCACTCCACCACTTGAGCCACAACACCACTTGCGGCTTTTTCTGTGTATGTGGTAGTGAGGAATCGAATGTGGGGCTTCATGCATGCTAGGCAAGCACTCTACCACTAAGCCACATTCCCAACCCTATAATTCTTTTTTTTTTTTTCTTTCAGTCATGGGGCTTGAACTCTGGGCTTGGGCACTGTTGCTCAGCTCTTCAGCTCAAGGCTAGCACTCTAAGCTACAGAGTCACCTCCGGTTTTCTGGTAGTTTATTGGAGATGAGTCTCACGGTCTTTCCAGCCCGGGTTGGCTTTGAACTTCAATCCTCAGATCTCAGCCTCCTCAGATTTCAGCCTCCAGAGTAGCTAGGATTACAGGTGTGAGCCACTGGTGCCCAGCCCCAACCCTGTAAGTCATTTGAAGGCTTATTGTACTCATATGTCTCGTTGGGTAAGAATTAAACATTTTTACAGTGGTTTGGGGTTTTTATTTTGGACTCAGCTAGCGCTCTACCACTTGACCCACAGCACCACTTCCATCTTTTTCTGCTTATGTGGTGCTGAGGAATCGAACCCAGGGCCTCATACATGCAAGGCAAGCACTCTACCACTGAGCCACCTTCCAGCTCCATGAAAAACTTTCATTTAAACAAATCTCTCAGAGCTGGGAGTAGCTCAGGGGTAAAGAATACTTGCTTAGGGGGGCTGGGAAGGTGGCTTAGTGGTAGAGTGCTCGCCTTGTATGCCTGAGGCCCTGGGTTCGATTCCTTAGCACCACATAAGCAAAAAGAAAAAAGCTGGAAATGGAGCTGTGGCTCAAGTGGTAGAGCGCTAGCCTTGAGCTGAAGAGCTGAGGGACAGCACCCAATCCCAGAGTTCAGGCCCTACAACCGGACCCCAAAAAAAAAAATACAAGGCCCTATTTGAAAAATAATTAAAGCACAAAGAGCTGATAGAGTGTCTGCCTAGCAAGCACTGGGGTTTGTATCACACATACAAAGAGAACATGAGATCCTCATAACTTGCTGGCTGCACTGTAAAATGAAACAACTGTTTTAGAAAACTAGAAATTCTGTAAAATCTAAAGTTACTATCTGACTTACCAATCTACTCCTACCTACCAAGAAGTAAAATATATGACCATGCAGAAACTTATACATAAGCCAGATACTGGTAATGAGGTATTAAGGAGTCTGAGTCCTAGAGGATCATGGTTCAAAGCCAACTTAAACAGAAAATCCAGCAAGACTCTACCTCCAAGTACCCAACAAGACTGCCAGACTATTGATGGTTGTTAGGTTAGGAGTGACTCTTACAGGCTATATGTTCAAGGTTAGAGATAGTTATGTAATAGCAATATACCCTATTAAATTATACACTTTAAAATGTGATTTGCATCATATATGAATGAATCAAAATTAAATTTTCAGCTGGGTGTTGGTGGCTCATGCCTGTAATTCTACTCAGGAGGCTGAGATCTGAGGACAACAGTTCAAAGCCAGCCTGGGCAGGAAAGTCCGTGAGACTCTTATCTCCAATTAACCACCAGAAAATCGGAAGTGGAGCTGGAGCTTGACTTGAGCTAGAGAGCTCAAATACAGCACCCAGGCCCAGAGTTCAAGCCCCACAACCAACAAAATAAATAAATAAATAAATAATTTCGAAAGGAAACAGCAGACCCAATAGATATTAATATACGGGCTTCTTAAGAGCAACTCTTTACTGCTATGTGATCTTGAATAATGTAGATAAACTTGCTAAGTTTCAGCTTCTTCATTTAGAAAGTAATACTTTTCCCTAACAAAAATAAAGCTAAGCCAGGCGCTGGTGGCTCGTTCTTATATTCCTAGCTACTCAGGAGGCTGAGATCTAAGGATTCTGGTTCAAAGCCAGCCCGGGCAGAAAAGTCTATGAGACTCTTATCTCCAATTAACCACCAGAACACCAGAAGTGGTGCTGTGGCTCAAATGGTAGAGCACTAGCCTTGAGCTGAAGAGCTGAGGGACAGTGCCTAGGACAGAGTTCAAGCCCCATGACTGACCAAAAAAATAAAATATAGATATAAGAATCATTTTACACATGTTGCCTTTACAAAATTTAATTTCTCTTCTACCCTAAAAAATTATCTTTATGTCTATTAATATTAGGTCTGCTCTGAAGGAAAAAAATAAAATTTTCCTGATTAAAATATATATTGCAGGGTGCTGGTGGTTCACCTCTGTAATCCTAGCTACTGAGGAGGATAAAATTAGAGGATCAAGGTTCAAAGCCAGCCTGGGCAGGAAAGTCTGTGAGACTCCTACCTCCAATAAACTACTCAAAAAAGCCAGAAGCAGAGCTGTGGCTCAAGTGGTAGAATGCTAGCCTTGAGCAAAAAAAGCTCAGGGACAGTGCCTAAGCCCTGAATTCAAGCTCCAGGACCAGCACGCGCACGTGCACGCACGCACATGCACATATACACACGCACACACATACATACACACACACACATACATACACACACACACACCATATATATATATTTGGGGGTGGGGTGGGGGGAAGGGATTGGTTGTGGGGTTTGAACTCTGGGTATAGGAGATGTTCCTGAGCTCTTCAGCTCAAGGCAAACATTCTACCATTTGAGCCACAGAGCCACTTCTGGTTTTCTGGTGGTTTATCGGGGATGAATCTCATGGCCTTTCCTGCCCAGGCTGGCTTTGAACCGAGATCCTCAGATCTTAGCCGCCTGAGTAGCTAGGAAAACAGGTGTGAACCTCTGGCACCCTGCTTGTGAGATTCTTACAGACATGAGTAACATTTTTTTGGGGGGGGTCGGTCATGGGGCTTGAACTCTGGACCTGGGCGCTGTCCCTCAGCTCTTCAGCTCAAGGCGAGTGCTCTACCACTTGAGCTACAGCACCACTTCCAGTTTTCTAATGGTTTTATTGGAGATAGAAGTCTCATGGTCTTTCCTGCCTGGGCTGGCTTTGAACCACGATCCTCAGATCTCAGCCTCCTGAGTAGCTAGGATTACAGGCGTGAGCCACCGGCGCCCTGCCCACTTTTTTTTTCTTATAACAGCAATTCTCAGACTCTAGAATTTTATATCATACCAGATTTGTTTAGGAAGTTTATCGTTCAATCATATTACATTCTTCTAATATTCTGATCCAAATTAAATTTCATGTAGGCAGAACCAGGAAAATGATTTTTCATATTCCAGTTACAGAATATGTAAACGTCTTTTTTTTTTCTTTTTTTGCTGGACCTGCAGCTTGAACTCAGGAACTCAGGGCCTGGGCTCTGTCCCTGAGTCTCTCTTTACTCAAGACTAGTTAGTGCTCTACCACTTGAGCCACAGTGCCACTTTTGGCTTTTTCTGATTAGTTCATTGGAGATAAGGGTCTTCCAGACTTTCCTGCCAGGGCTTTGAACTGTGATCCTCAGATCTCAGCCTCCTGAGTAGCTAGGATTACAGGTGTGAGCCACCAGTGCCCAGCCGTAAAAAATCTTTCTAAAACTGTAGACAAGTACAAATACTCTTTTATATGGTAGCCAATTAATACTAGTGGTAAATGTAACATTACAAAGTCAATGTTAGGGTGAGAATATTGAGATCCTTGTCTAAGTAATAATTAGAAACTGAAAGTCCGAGCTTGGCGTGATGATATAACTCCTCTAAACTCAGCACTCTGGAGGCTGAGGCAGGAGCACCAAGTTCAAGGCTAGCCTGGGCTACACAGTAAGACCCTGTCCAAAAAAAAAACAAAAACAACCCAGATAGGGAGGAAGGAAAGGTAGACAGGAAGGAGGGAGGGAGGAAGGAAGTCCAAGTTCTACCAAACTGCGCCATATCAGCCTTTTTACAATGACTGTGTAGGAAGAGGAACATGGTAGTATAATGTCATTTACCTTTGATTACTTCTCATTCACACTAAATCATATTGGCAGTGAGCTGTGTGATTTGAAGCAGGCAGGAAAATATATGAAGTAGCATCTTTGCATTTAAGACTATCCGCAAAGTGCTCCAGTTGTTTTCCTTCTCTGTGTCTTAATCATAAATAATTCTCAGATGCTTTCTAGAACTGAGGGCTTACCTCTTCTGCTAGGTATAAGAAAGGGACAGGATCTTAACTTTGGAATAGGTGGTCTTCCTACTCATATGAAATATTCAGTTGGAGTTGGGCACCGGTGGCTCATGCCTGTAATCCTAACTACTCAGGAGGCTGAGTATCACGGTTCAAAGCCAGCCCAAAGCCAGCCCTGGCAGGAAAGTCCCTGAGACTCTTTTTTTGTTTGTTTTTTTGGGCCGGGTTGTGGGGCCTGAACTCTGGGCCTGGGCGCTGTCCCTCAGCTCTTCAGCTCAAGGCTAGCGCTCTACCACTTGAGCCATAGCGCCACTTCCGGCTTTTTTCCTTTTGCTTATGTGGTGCTGAGGAATTGAACCCAGGGCCTCAGGCATGCAAGGCATGCGCTCTACCACTGAGCCATCTTCCCAGCCCTCCCTGAGACTCTTATCTCCAATAAACCACTAGAAAACCGGAAGTGATGCTGTTGCTCAAGCAGTAGAACGCTCAACTAGAGCTGAAGAGCTGATGGATAGCACCCAAGCCCAGAGAGTTCAAGCCCCACAACTAACCAAACAAAAGAGAAAAAAGAAATACTTGGTATTTTATTTGTTTTTGTGTTTTGGGTTTTTTTGTTGGTCATGGGGCTTGAACTCTGGGCCTGGGCATTGTCCCTCAGCTCTTCAGCTCAAGGCGAATACTCTACCACTTGAACCACAGTGCTACTTCCGGCTTTCCCTGTATATGTGGTACTGAGGAACTGAACCCAGGGCTTCATGCAGGCTAGGCAAGCACTCTACCACTAATCCACATTCCCAGCCCTAGTTGGTATTTTTAAAATATAGAAATATAAAATAAGTCTTCCTTCTCCTATAACCCAGTGATTACACACACGACAAAGATCACAAAATCCAAAGTTGAAATAAACTCAGAAACAAAATAAACAAAAAAAATGTTTTTCTTAAATTCTCTCTTATAATGCACAGAAGACACCACCAGACTAGAAAAATTTAATAGCTGGTGAAAATTTGTAGAATCATCTAGGCTCAGGATGAAAATTACTTTTACATAACTGATATATTTCTATATCTCTTAACAACTTATAGCAAAGAAAAAGAAGAACACTACAATACTTACACACAAAAGTCTCTACATGTGTACACAAGTCACCACATTTAGGACAGCGCAGCTGGTTTCCTCCTTTCCCAGAATTCCCAGAGCCCGATTTCTTACTGCCTCCTTCACTCACTGATTTCTAAGGGAGCAGGAAGGAAAAAAAAGACAGAGTATCAATGACTGAGTTATAGGCACCAGTTTATATATAGCTTAAAAGTAAACCACATGGTATACAATTAATATTTAAATTTTAAAAATTCCAGATGCAATTAGTAGTATAGTTTATCACTGTTACCATGATGTCCTATTTATCACAAAAGTCAAATCAATTCTAGTACACATATTTTCATCTGAAATCCCTTCTTATGATAAAGTGTTTTCTTTCAATGACTCAGTAAGTCCAAGGGTGAAAAATAAATTTACTACAGGGAAAAAACTGCCACTCAGCAATGGAGGCATGGCTCAAATGGTAGAGCACCAACCTAGCAAGCACGGGCCCTGAGTTCAAAACCTACTGCCAAAATAAAACAAACACCTTTTCAGTGGAATTGAATCAAGTTATCATAGCAGGAATATATACATGTAACATTCTTACTTTTCCCATCCTTTATATGCTTTTTCCCATCTTTAAATTATTCCACCTGTTTCAGAGTTGCTGCAAGGATTTTTTTTTTTTTTGGGGGGGGTCCAGTCATGAGGCCTGAACTCTGGGCTCTTCAGCTCAAGGCTAGCACTCTACCACTTCAGCCACAGCACCACTTCCGGCCTTTTTCTTTTTGTTTATGTGGTGCTGAGGAATCAAACCCAGGGCCTTAGGCATCCAAGGCAAGCACTCTACCACTGAGCCACCTTCCCAGCCCAGTTGCTGCAAGGATTAAGCAAGGATATGAGTGTTTAGCACTTTGTCTGAATACAATGACTTGTACCTATGAGTAGCCCCAAAATACAAGATTTTTAGGTATAATATAAAGTACAGCTTATAGCATCATGAGTTACTTGGTATGAGATATAGTATTATATCACAAATTAAATGAAACTAGAAATAATGGCTATTTCTAATTCAACCCTCAAGAATGCTCAAACATTTTTCTTTCAATTCTGAGGAGACCTGAAATCAGGGCCCTGTGTTGCTAGGCAACATCCTCTACCAATTGAGCCAGACCCCAAGTCCCTAACAGATTATTTCATGACACTTCTCCATTACTTTCGGATTTCAGAAATTTTTATGACCGCCCACTAATATAAATAATGTTTACAAAAGTACTTCATGGTTCAAATTAAAACATAAAATAAGCTAGGTATGGTGGCATACTCCTGAACCCAACACTCAGGAGGCTAAGGCAAAAAGATCATGAGGAAGAGGCCAGCCTGGGCTAATGAAAAGTGCCAGGCTAGCCCAATGTGAATGGCAAGACTGTCCTCACTAAATTTAAATAAATAAATTTTACAAACATTGAATTACATCAACTTTGTCAGATCATTTTATATATCTCATAATTCCTACAGAGAATATACGCCAAAGGAATGCATAGTATTTTTTTTCTTACTTAACTGTTTAAAAAGAGGCAACTAGGGACTGGACAGTGTAGCTAAGTGGTAGAGGCTTGCTTAGCATGCACAAGGCCCCGGATTAGATACCCAGCCCCACAGAAAAAGAGGGGTTCAATATGGGTTTAAATGCCAATAAATATTCAAATAACCTTATTTCCATCTCCAGAGCCATCTTTATTTGTTCCATCTTTTGCGGCAAAGTATGCTGGTGTTTCTGAGAAGGTTCTAAGAGGGGCTCTGCGCAGAATCTGAGTTTCAAAGGTCCCAAGCCTTCCTAAAACCGGTATATGAATGCGGCTACAAGAAATACCTGAAACAAACAGAAATCTATTAGTCTACACACTAAATATTGACACGTCTCAATACATTTCTTGGAAACAAAGCCCTCCAAACATGTTGAAGGTTGTAAAAAGCTAGTTTTCACAGCAGCAGTATACAGTGAGCAAGAAGACAATGATACCATAGGTGCAAAGTTCTCTCAGAAACAAGCAGGCCAAGGCCTCTGAGTGATTCAAGGTAAACAAATTTTTCCAGTTCTATTCTTTCAAAGTGAGGCAAGATCAACGAGATCGTAACAAGCTAAGGCTCCCTTAAAATGTGAGAGTTGGGGCAGGGGGAAGGGGGGCACAGTGCCTGTAATTATTAAACATGAATTCAATTAAAAAAATAAAATAAAATAAAATGTGAGAGTTGATGCCACATGCCTATATTCTAGCTACTTAGGAGGTAGAGACAGGAAGATCACGGTTTGAGAATAGTCTGGGGGAGTAAGTGAGACTATCTTAAAAACAAGCCAAGCATGGTGGCTCACTACTACAGTCCTACCTACTCCAGAAGAGGAAAGAAGACTATAACCTATGTGAAATTAGTGCAAGACCCTATCAGAAAAACAAACTGAAGACACACAAGGATTGTGAGCATGGGCTCAAGCACAAGAACCTGAGTTCAATCCTCAGTACTGCAAAATGTGAGTTCACCATCTAGTACATCTGCAGATTTTTGAAAAAGGCCATACAATATCCAGTTTTTCTTTATTCAATGTCTACCAATGAGAATAAGCAGCCAAGAAGTACTCTTGTCTGTCTCTTTGGCTAGATGAGGGTAGTATTTGTAACAATGGAACAAAGTTCCAGTGTTCTTTGTTTTTCCACTTAAGCAATGCACTTGGTAGAAAAACTCAGACACAGTGAGTGGAAAGTGCTGCTGGGGGAGAGGGGTGCTGATTGGTAAAAGGTTTCAGTTCTACAAGTTGGAGCAACTAATGGAGATGGTGGTCAGTGACTTTTTGGTAGTTAGAGATAAGAGTCTCATAGACTTTCTTGCCAGGCTGGCTTTGAACCATGATTCTCAGATCTCTGCTTCCTGAATAGCTAGGATTAAAGGTGTGAGCCACTGGTACCTGGCTATCAATGTTCTTAATACCATGGAAAAATACATTTAAAAGTGGCCAAGAGTGGGGCAACGGTGGCTCACGCCTGTAATCCTAGCTACTGAGGAGGCTGAGATCTGAGGATCATAGTTCAAAGCCAGCCCAGGCAGGAAAGTCTGTGAAACTCTTATCTCCAATAAACCACCAGAAAACTGGAAGTGCTCTGTGGCTCAAGCTGCAGAGCGCTCACCTTGAGCTGAAGAGCTCAGGGACAGCACCCAAACCCAGAGTTCAAGCCCCACAACCGACAAAAAAAAAAAAAAAGTGGCCAAGACAGTGTTATGTGTATTTTACAGAAATAATTTAAAAATTGGGCTGGGTGCCGGTGGCTCACACCTGTAATCCTAGCTACTCAGGAGGCTGAGATCTGAGGATCATGGTTCAAAGCCAGCCTGGGCAGGAAAGTCCATGAGACT